ATCCCTGGTTCCATCAAAAAATAAAAAATAAAAAATAAACCGGCTTGCGTGGTATTATGGGCTGGTGAGATGGCTCAGTGGTCTAAAACACCTACTCAGAACAAGCTTAGCAAAGCACAGGGACCAGGGTTCAATCCCCCAGCACCACATGCCAGCCAGTTCTGTCCCCTGGTGGGCTGAGCTGGCCACACACACACACACACACACACACACACACAAATAAATAAAAAATAATAATAAAAAAATAAAAAATTAAATTAAAACCTGGACATCTTTGTAAACTTTCTTTTTTAAATCAAAGTGTTCTTAGAACTTTTAAACTATATACATACATAAACTCCACCTTCAGTTTTTCTTCTTTGTGGAACAGACTAAAACACTGGATTTTTCTGTTGATTCTCTTTGCAGGAATTAGTTCATGCTCATACCTGCAAAACAGCATATCTAATTAGAATGAAAATGCCCTAACAATGTACTCAGAGAATTTTTGCTCCAGTAACTGTTGTTGTGAATTCCTTCAGGTCCTGGTTTTCTTCTCTTTGTACCTTCATCTTTGGCAATCACAGTACATATAAAATTACAGACCTGACCATATTTTATGAAAAAGACCACGAGTGTAGGTGTGTATGTGTTTCTCTCATGTTTCCACAGCTACCATTTTTTAGATGGTTTCCGATGGAAAACTGGAGCAGAGTGTGTGTCAGTGAGGTCTGTCTGCCAAGAGGGAGAACCCAAGGTCAGATTTCTGTTGACAGTTGGTTGGACTGAAATGAACCACTTCAAAGGCACAGGGTGGCCAGACTTGTACCTGAATAGGTTAGCCCTGAATAAATGGCTTTGCCTTCTGACAATTGAAGTCATCTAATTATAAACGACCAGTCCTATAATTATGGAAATGTTTCACATATTAAAAGAAAATGATGTAACAGGTTAGCACACTTGGTTGAGAGCCATGTTGAAATACTTTCCCTAGAAATGTGCTCTGTGTCAAGAAATGTGGTGCACCATAAATGCTCGAGACGTCTTTATAATCGGATCAGATCTACTTCCGCAGTAATCACACCTGAAAGCCACAGTGTACAGTGAGTCACTTCTGTGATCACCAGGCTCACCGCGTTCCCTTATCCACCACATCCTTGCCTAAGAGAGGCCTACGTTCATCCATTAGAATTATTTTACTGAAAGAAAGTTACATTTTAAACTTTGCTTTTATTCATAAGTGATAGCAGTGAAATTCTTCTCCAGTAACTATCCCCTCTCAGCTGTTTCCTCAGTGGGGGCTATTAGAATTTGAGCTTGAATAAGGGTGGAAATATTTTGATCTGCACTTGAAAATATCATCTTTTGAAAATTTTCATTCAACACAGTTAAATGGATAGTATGAAAAATACTCATGTCTTGGCATTTATATTACATAAAATTACAGTTCATTACAATTAGCAGTGGGAGGCATTGGCATGTGCCTCCCTGTCATGGCCCATTTATCTGCCATGTAAATGCTTTACAATATAAGTTGTAGACATAAGTACATTTTACCACTAGAAACTTCTGGACATACAGTGGTCAATATCCATTTACTTTTTATGTAAAATTGTTAGACCGTGGAGTGCATAAATCCTCAAGAAACCATTTACTGAACTTTGGTCCATATGTGCACACCTTCAGAGTGCAGATCTCTATCCAGGTGTGTAGCATTACCGTAGAAAATTCCTGTGCCCCTTCTCAGCCAGTTTTGAGTCTGCTTTTAAAGGCCACTGCTGTTCTGATTTTTTCTACTATAGTTTGGTCCATTTATGAATCTTACATTGAAAAAAAAAACAACAACAACAACAACAGATAGTACCCTCCTTTGCATAAGCATCTTCCATTCGGTGTGAGGTTCCCGAGCTCCACCTGTGTTGCACATCTGAGTAGTCTGTGCTTTGCTGCTGTAATAGCTGTAATCTGTGACGAAGGCCTGTGTTATTTCTAGTGTGGGCTTGTACAAGGCTCTACTCTCTTGACATATACTTTTATTTCTCTTTGGTAAAATACCTAGGAGTAAATTGCTTGGTCATAGGGAGGTGTATGTTTAGTTTTATGAGAAAGTGCTAGACCTTTTCCAAAGTGGGTTATATCATTTTACCCTTTCACCACAAGTGTTCAGGTTCAGGTTGCCTGCAGCCTTGTCAGTGTTTGGTGGTGGTAGTCTTTTTAATTTCAGACATTTTGGTGGGTGTGTGATTGTATCTCATTAGAATTTCATATTCATTTCCTAATGACTAAGAATGTTGAGTGTCTTCTCCATGACCCACTGGCTGTGTTTATTTAGATATCTTCTTTTTTTTCCTATCTATGGTTTTATTTTATTGGTAGATACAATGTTCAGATGCATATTAGCATTAGGATTAAAAAATCAAATAAGACAGTGTTTCTATTTGTGGTCAAAACACTACTCTTATTTTCCCCATAATTTTATTGAGAAACAAATAGCAGTGAGACAGTTTCAAGTCAAATTGGTAGGACAGTATCAATAATTAACACATTGCATACACTCTTCCTAGTGGTTAATTGCTGTACAAGATGCGGACTTGATATCCTATTTACAAACACCATTAGAACAAATCCCTCCATTCATTAAGAGAATGTAACTATACATCTATCCTAACCACTTTGAATACACAGATACAAAATGGACATTCATCTGTATCCCCCTTTTTTTTGTTAAGTTCCTTTATTTGAATATTATAGGTATGTAAACTCAGCAAAATATTCTAAAAGAGTCCAGTAGCCCATAATAGTATTGGGTCTTCCACTTGACTGGCCATATCAGAAATTGTTGACCTGAATCCCCTACAGCTCAACATAACACCATGGCTTTACTTCTTCTATTTCGTTTTTATACTTTTCTGCTGGATGGTTAAGACCAAGGTAAAGCAGGACGTATGCAACAAGAGTTGTAGCTTTTGGGTCTGAGAAGGTCAGTGAAATGCCCTCAGGATTTATCCTGAGATCCTGTACCTCAGATTGTAGAACCTTTGTCATTGTCAGCCATGTGGATGAGTCATGGCCATTGCTTGGCCAGTGTGCTCTCTATGAAAGCCTGAGACAATGTTTCTCTCCATGTGACTCTCTTTAGGCCCACTCTATGTCATCAATCACTTTCCTCTTTGGCCCCATAATGTCCTTGATCAGAAAATTTGGGACACTACCGAGGTACATGATGTTATAGTACAAGTTCTCTTATGTCCTGAGTCTTAATTGACCTTGGAAGGCTAGGGCCAAAATGTTGGCTTTCCTTGCAGCCCTCCTTTTTCTCTAATTTTGGTCTGCAAACT